TATTATGGTGAATGCTGGGATTCTAAATCAGTTGGGATCTTGAAAAAAGTTCATTTAAAATGAAATCCTATGCATGCTTACTTGGAATTGTGGCCAGTGAGGTTAACTGCTTTATGTCTGAGATTAGTAAATGGAAGAATTTTCTGTGGAGAATTTCCAATCTTTTGTTTTCACATGTCAGAAATCAGGCATAAACACATTTTTCATTTTCTGTGGAGAATTTCCAATCTTTTGTTTTCACATGTCAGAAATCAGGCATAAACACATTTTTCATTTTCTGTGGAGAATTTCCAATCTTTTGTTTTCACATGTCAGAAATCAGGCATAAACACATTTTTCTTCATTCGAGGAAATGGAAATATAAAGTTGTACATTCTTTGAGATGGTCTATATATCTAACCTTAGTTTTCAGTTTGGGATGGATTATATAAAATAATGTATTTCATTGCATGAATTTCTAAAACTCATTTTTTAGGTCTACCGACAGGATTGTGAAACCTTTGGCGCTGTAGTGAAGATGCTGATTGAAAAAGACCCTGCATTAGAAAAGCCCATCCAATTTTCTTTGAGACAAAATTTGCACGAGATTGGTGAGAGATGTATTGAAGAACTTAAACATTTCATTGCAGAATATGATTCTGCGAGTCAAGAATTTGAAGAACCTTAAGATAAGGTTATTCATATATAAATGCTACCTGGTTCATGGATGCTAGTGATTTTCTTCTAAACTGGTTCATCTTGCATTTGATCTCTTTATAAAATTGAATAATTGCAAAACATACAATATCATTAGTTACTTAGTTGAATTACTGAGGAAAGCAAAATCTTGAGGCATTCTTACAATAATTTTTGAATCTCAGTGCAGATTTCTACATTTCACTGAGTTCAGATTGGAAAATATTGTATTCAATATTTGGTTGTATTCAATAGTTGGGTTCACATCACACATATTTTGTAAATGCTTAACAAAATGAGGTGCTCCAATTATTGAAACAGGTTGCTATTTGACTATGACTGACCATTTTGTAATTTTATTGATATTGATGAATGTACATAAAATAGTAATGTGCAATTGTATTTATGTACATTTTATGTATGTGTTGCCTTTAATTAGAGTAGCTATATAAATTTCATTGGAAACAATTGTTCCATTGATTAATTAATTGTTCCATTAAGCTAGTTGTTTAGCTTAGTGGTTTTGTAAGTTGAAATAACCTGTGTAATTAAAATCCTTCAGAGTTAGTATCAGAATTTGCATTTTCTTGAAAGCTTTGTACAGTTGTATAAACAATATTTGTCTTTAATAGTAATGGAAAATATATATTCTTATTTCTCTTCTGGAGTTTCTGTAATTTCCACTATACTATGGGATGTTATTTTTAGAAATGGGTCTAGTGAAGGAGCACAAATGTTTTTTATGTATGAGAATTATGCAACTCAACATTTCACAAATGGTACAGTAATTCAGACAAGATGACACATTCCACAATCGGGGGGTAGCAGAGTGAGCAAGCTCATAATTTTAATTCAATGGCTAAGCTTTATCCAACATTGCTTCATTATATTCCTTTGATACAGTTGGAGACTAGGCTACTTGAAAGGATTCTTCCCAGAATTGCAATAAGGTTGGTTACATTCACACATCACACTTGATAAAATGATTGACTGCCACATGGGCAGCAGAATTACCTATTACATTTGTCAGTGGTCAAGTATTCTTTCCACACGTAAGGGGCAGAACAACTTTTGGTCCTGTAAACTGAAGTGTTGTATATCCATGGTTAGGCGTAAGATTATTTAATCCTAAAGTAACAAAAACTAATAGTGTCCTCTGTTTAGACAATCACAGATGGATGATTTGGAAGCATGCCTCTTGAATTCATGAGGATGGAAAGGGAAGTGGTGGTGCATCTTTGCTGTTTAACCCATAAAAAAGGTTAAACATGCAAATATTCTTCTGAACATTTCAAAACTGGCCCTCAATTTACCTCAGCTACTGCGGCCAGTGAAAGGGACTGTGAAAGTTTTAACTGAAAGCAACTAGCAAGGACTGTATTATATTTCAGTGTTCTAACCTACACAGAGATATTAAGGGGGAAATAGGGAAAGCCAAATTTACAAATTACAAAAACAAATTACACAGAAAGCCAAGTACTAGAAACTGAGTTAAAGATTTGATCTCACTGGCTAAGTAACAAAATTCAGTAAAAGCCAGTGGAAAATCATATCACTTGCATATTGATAGAAACTGAGCCTAGTTAAAATAGGCTCAATAAACATAATTGATCCAAATCACACTAAGCAAAAGATAAACTACCAATAGATTTGAACTAAACAGGACCATTAACCATTCTTAATAGAAAGTAAGGTATAATTTTATTTAGTTGATCTTAAAAATAACATAAAATAATAAAATAAAATAAAAAAAAGGACGCGGTGGCGCAGCGGCTTAATGACGCTGAAAGTTGCCGGCCAGAAACGGTCGACGCTTCAGCAGTTTGAGTCCAGCCTTCGCGTTAGCAGGGTGAGCTGCTTTTTCCTCCCCAGTTCCTGTAAACCCAACAGTTCGAAAACTCACATGAGTAGATAAATGGGTACTCTCACTCCGGTGGGAGGAAAAATGCTGGCGGCATCTTGCAAAAAAGGAGTCGGGAGCAGTTGCCGGTAAGCACGAAAAACCGTGCGCGCCAAAAAAGGGCGTGAAGCAACAGAAACCCCGCCTCCTGCGCTCG